GGAGTGTTCTTGGTCGGAAACGACACTCGCACTCGCGGTCTTCCCTCTGTGGACGTTGCAGACCTTCTTGCTCGACGCTCCGCCACGTCCAAAGAAAAAAATTCTTGACGTCAACTTGTCATTTGTTACGAAAGGAGTTCCTTCAATGGCGCTTGCATAGCCCTGCACAGGACCGTCGGCACGAAGCGCTGGCTCGAGCGGCACCAGAAGCTCGGGAATGAGCGACAATGGCTGCTTGGAGCGTGTGAATTGAACTAGGAGACTCACGTTGGCTGCCCGACAACTGAGAGTCTCACGCCAACAAACTGTGCTACAGCCGTACTGCAGCAACGCGACCGAACGCAGCTGGCCGATCACCCCGATAAAGTACGAATTCATCCGTACCTAACGATGCGCACTTAATCGGCACTTGCCATCGCCGACGCGATGGAGCTCGAGATCCATGTGCGCCGAGCGCGGAACCTGACGTTCGCCGCGTCCTCCGTTGACCCGGCGGCGCTGGAGCTGCGCATCCAATGCTCCGTCAACGGCGACCTCCGGAGCAGCGGCAGCGGCAAGCGGTCGTCGTCCAAGGGCTTTGACGGCTACGTCTGGCGCGGCGACGCCGGTGTGCTGCGGTGGCACCTCTCGCTCACCGACTTTCGCCGCCTCAAGAGCATGCGCCCAACGCTCAAAATCTACGTCTTTGGCATTGGCGCCCAGGTTCATACGCTCGGCTGGTTCTTCCTCGACTTACGGTACCTTAATAACGTTGTGGCAGAGGTATCATGGAGACTTGTATTGCTAGGACACCCGACACGGCGCTGCGCTGGGTCAAAATCCTCAACTCCAAGCACCACGGCGAAGTGTACGTCAAGAGCCAACTCGCCAAGGCGAGCGTGGCGCCTGCACCATCGACGCCGCAGGCCTTACCTGCCACCGCCGTGACCACCACCGAGCCCATGGCGACCGAGGCTCCCGAGTGCCTGGTGGTCGGACCAATCGAGACAGCGACCGACGTCTTCCTCCTCACCGTCACCTTGGTCAACGCACGCGAGATGACGGCCATGATCACGAAATTGCTTCAGAAATCGTCGCCGAATGAGATCGCCGCCATCAAGAGCGCGGGCTTCTGGCTCGCATACTCGCTCTTTGACGTCCTCGTACAAAGCGACGCGTTCACGTCGCTCGAGTCGGCCAGCTTTGGGCTTCTCCGCGGCGTCTTTCGGCTCCAGAGCTCGCTGGGATTCCTGCGCGAGCACACGCTGGCGACGCCCCTGCCTCTCTTCCTCTGCACGGTCGACCGCATCCTCGGGCGTGTCGAAATGCCGCTGCGCACGCTCGCCGAGCTCGACTTGCCCGCGCACGCCGAAGGCAGCTACCCGTTTGAGCCCTCCCACGCGACCAAAGGTAGAGCCAACTCTTGGCGCAGTCTTTGCTAAAACGGCGTAGGCACGCCATTGGGGGTCGTGGACGTCGCGCTGGATCTCGTGCTCGAAGCTCCGACCAGCGTAGAGCCAGAAGTCGCGGTCGCGGTCGAACCAACGCCGTTGCGGAGTGCTTTTTACGGCAACATCGACTACTTGGAGCTCCATCATCACCAGCATCTGGACACGGATGGCGGTATGCTGGAGCTCACGACATCCAGCTCGGACGAGAGCCTTCGCGCCCCGATGATCGTGGCGGAGCACCGAGATGCGGTGCTAATGTGGACGGACGGGCTCTCTTGGCTCTCGCCTACGGCCCGTGACGACGTGACCGTCACTGTCGGCGAGGTGCAAGTGCACGCGACCTTATTGCACGACGTGCACTCGGCCGTGCTTTACGAAGACGACGGTCGCGCTGTGGGTACCATCTTTTACAGCTACACCTCCGAAGTGCCACCGCCATCAACCCTCGAGCGCCCCGGGTCCCCACTCGTGCTCGTGCTCCAAATTCTCTCGATCAAAGCCACGAGTCACTGGGACACGACCAGTACCCCGGTGCACGTTGCGTTCGAACCTTCCCTCGTCGAGACCAAGAGCGGCCCTCGCTGTGCGTACTCCTTGCCTACAATCTCAATCTCAATCTCAAACGTAGTGTCGACATCTCGCATCTCACTTCGCGCAAAAGAAGACGTCGACGTCGAGGCGGCCAAGACGGTGTTTTGCCACGTGCAAGCATCGCAGCTCCAACGGCCGTGGCAGCTGCATCTCGAGACGACCGCCCACGAGAGCATCGCGGTCGCTACGCTCAGCCTCGCGTACCTCGGTATGCTCAAGCAGAGCCAGCGCTGCGACCTCTGTGGCGAGCTTCTTGCAGAAGATACCGACCACGCCCACGACGGCGCGCCACAAAGCGTCACAACCTTTACGTACTGCGAAGTCTACGTACCGGCCGTGCGCCCCGGCTCGGACACGGCCGCAGCCACCTTGCACGTTGTGGCCACACTGCAAGACAAGTACCCGATCGCGCCAGTGTACCCCCCGCCCCTTGCGAGCCCCCGCCCAGTGGTGACGCCCAGGCCTCTGCAAGCCAAGCCTGTCCAGCAGACCCATCACGACGACGCCATGGTCGCGACAGATGACGTATCGCCGACGACTCGAGTCGGGGTAGTAGCACCCGGACCAGCCTTGAGGACGCCAGTACGAGAGACTTCACGCCGCGTCTACTGATGACTCATCGAACGGTGTAGGATACAACAAACGCGACAATAGCATGCACATGTGCGGCAACGCTCGCCGCCGAGAAGCGCGTTCTCGCAGAAAAGCAGCGCGAGCTGCAGGCGACGCACCACCGACGCATGGAAGCGCTGGAAGCCGAGTGGGCAAGTCGCGAGAAAGACCGCGTCCAAACGGTCGTCTTGCTACCTTGATACGTTGAAACTCACGTCGCAGTAGGTGCGCGTCGCGCAGCACGAGTACATGGCTCTCGAGACCGAGCTGCGCAAGACATTGGCCGAGCTTGAGCAGCGCGAACGGCGCCTCGCGCACGCCGAAGAGTCGGCGCGGCTTCAGAGCGAGCTCCAAAAGCAAGAGACCGAGGCCAACGAGCGCCGGGTGAAGCGAGAGACGTCGGCGACGCTGCAGAGCATGGAGGCGCAGCTCGAGCGCCTTCACGTCGAATTGCGGGCGATGCAAGGTCGGGCCGAACGGGCCGAAGCGCGCGCCACCTCGCTGGAGCAAGACATGACGACGGTCCGCGCCGAGCTGCGCAAGAGCCCCGAGCATGCCCTTCGGCAAGAAGTCGTGCGCTGCGAAGCGACCATTGCGTCCCTCGTACGCACCGATGCGATAGTTTAACCTTGTCACGCGTATATATGGAGCGTAGGAGAAGCGGCTACGCGACATGGACCTCGAGAAAGCCAAAGCGGACGCGACACAAATGGAGCTCGTCGCGCAAGTCGAGCGACTCACGCTGCTCCTGCAGCGCGAGAAGCGCAAGCAAGAAGACGAGAAAGCGAGTGAAATCGACAAGCTCCGGCTCAAATACCGGGCGCGCGAGGAGCGGTTTGTCTTGGACGGCGACCGCGAAGAGCTCCGAGCCATCAAGAAGCAGCTCGATCTGCTCCGAGAGGTGAGCGGGCGCGATGTGCATCCCGAGGTCACGCGCCTTCAGCGGGAGAAGGACGACCTAATGCAGCGAGGCGGGTACGCCGCCGACAGCCCCGTCATCGTCGAGCTTGATCGCCGCATTTTGGCGGCTCGAAACACGGGTCTTCGACGACCGTAGCTAATAGCACATTTGTCAAAGGCTTTTTGTTTTCTTAGTGTCCCTAAATGTACTCGCCCATGCGTGGCTCCTAGTCTTGAGACTTGGGCAGTGGTAGCCCAAATGGTGACTCTGCGACGCAACAAGACGACGCGCGACCGCTTCGGGTGACCGATTTCAGAGAGCTTCCTCGGTCGAGCTGACTCCCACAGACGCAGAACTCCATCACAGCCAGACGGGGTCGCTGCAAGCAACTCAACTTCGTCAGCAACACGCGTGTGGCGGGATGTCGCCGGTGGACGCTCATCCCTGCAGTGTCAAGGCGCCATGTTGCGTGTCGAGGTGAGATGCGCCTGGCCAATAATGATGACGTGGCAGTTTTTGCGAGCTCGACACAAGAGCAAAGTCAGGTGCCGCGTCTCAGCAGTAGTCCGAGCACGGCACGGAGGACCCACGGATTCCTCTGTCAGTGTCGGCTGCAGTTGACAGTTGCTGCCTCCAACGGGATTCCAATCAAACGTTTGTATAAACACTTAACTACGGACACAGAGAACTTAGTCGCAACGCCTAGGGCGACGGCGCGGCAGTTGTAAGCGTGGCCGAGATCGCCACGATGTGGACACCGAGCATTGTCTCGTCGACGTCCGTACAGGAGGGCGCTTCGTCGTTGGTCGCATCCAAATTGATGGCGGGCACCATGACGCGGACGGGGCGCGTCGGCTGCGTCGGGCGGGGCATCGTTTTGCGTCTTGTGTCGTGTGAGGGAAATTGGCAACTGAACCGGAGCTGCCGCGCGCGTGTGTGACTCACACTGCAACGTCGGCAAGCCACGTCAACTGGCAACAGTAGGCGACACCCAGGAGCGACGCGGACTGACTCGCTGGCGACCGTCGAACAACTGCATCCCACTGGGCTCATTCAACTCGGATGCATAAATATACATACGTTCGGTGGCATATGCACGTTATATGGACCTCCTACGCGTTCTCTCGCATTTCGCGCTCGTATCTATCACCATCGCGTCAGCTCCATCGCACAAGCCAACTGGATCGTACCTCGATTTGTCCGTCTCTTGGGCTTCGTTCCACGGCTCCTTCTCCTCGTCCGTCATGGCGAGCCAGAGGTCCGTGAGCTTGGACATGAGCTCCACGATGCCCGTGCCCTCGGGCATTGACGCACGCACTTCGTTGCGCTTGGCGAGGCTGAAAAGAACGTACGCGCTCCGCGGCTTCTTCACGGGCTTCTTGTTCTCCGCGCCTGCATCAATCAGAAATCTATCATAATACAAAGAAGCTCGGCTACCTTTCTTGGCCTTTTTGCTGTTGGTCGGTGTCGACGCTTGCTTCATGGCCGTTGGCGACCACGGGCTCTTGGGCAAGCGTTTGGCGTCGCCCTGCTGCTCTTCGGACGTCAGCACCGACGCTGGCCGCTTCCTACATTGCGGAGCTTGAGAATCGATATTGTCGCTTGTTGTAGCAATGTACTTGGTCGGGAGGTAGCTCAAATAGTCCATGTGGATGTCCCAGGACGGCTGGCCTTCCTTGGCGTTGGCAATCTATGCCGAGTGAGTGCCTTTTTTACTACAGGACGCAAGAAAGACCGTACCGGCGTCGCAATGTGCTGAATCTGCTGCAAAATCGAACTCAGCTGGCACTTGACGTGCTTGGCGCAAAACTTGAGCGCGATCGTCGACGCTTCCTTGTCCGACGACGTGGCAATCATCTGCACAAGCTCTTCCACGAGGCTCTCGCTCATGTCGGTCGACGACGCCTTCTTTTCCACGGCCGCAGCCGGCGCCTTGCCCTCTTTCTTGGCGCGCTTCGCCTCACGCTGGGCCTGCATCTTCTTGGCTTCCTTCATGATCATCTCGTCCACGCGCGCTTGGTTCTACATCGATCACCATGGGCTTGTGCGCAAAACACTCTGGGCATGCAACGTACCCGGTTGAGGTCGGCCTTGGCCGCCGCGATACGCTCGGCGAGGTCTTTGCGTTGCAGCTGGAGCTCGGCCTTGAGCGCGCTATCGCGCTTTTCTTTCTGCTCAAAGTCCAAGTTGTCCTTTTCGCAAATGCGCATGAGCGCGTCGCAGCGACGCCCGAGCTCGGCCGAGCTGCGGCTCTTGAGGTAGTAGTCGAACGTGCACACGTCCGCTTGGTGGATCTCGCGCTTGATCTTGTCCCACGCGCCATACCCGTACGTGTTGACGAGGCACAGCAAGAGTCGGTCTTCCTCCTCCGTAAAGAGCTTCCCGCCCTTGCCTTGGTAGTTGATGACAAGGTCCTCGAGCGGGTTCTCGTAGCGCTTGACTTTGAGCGCAGTCTGCTCGGCGAGGCGCTCGATCTCAAGGAGCTTCGACTCGCCCTTCTCGATCGACTTGCGCAGCTTCTCCCAGTCGTTGAGCTCGGGGCCGCGGCGCCAAAACGTCTCGGCGTACCGCGTGACTTCGTCGAGCGGCTTGCTCATCTCGCGCGCGACCGCCGTGAGGTTGGCGCGGCCGTACCGCCCCAAGAGCTTGACAAAGAGGAAAAACTGGGGCTTGTTCCAGTCCGCAAACGCCTCCCGAAGCAGCGTCTCCTTCTCTTCTTGGAGCTCAGGCGACAAAAAGTTGGCTTCCTTGAGGTCATCTTGGGACGTCGCTTTGGCGGCCTCGTACGCAGCAACTTCGATTTCGTGGAGCTCGACGAGGCGGTGGCGCTGGAAAAACTGCCACTCGTCCATGCGCGGCAATCTACTCGGCACATGGAAACAAATTGAGCAAAACAGAAAGCATACCGAAGCGCCTTGGGGAGCTGCTTGAGCTTGGACGCCTTGACCTTGCTCGACACCTCGTCCGTCTTGAGCACCGTGCGGCGCTCGCGCTTGCCCATGCCGTCGGCCAGCGTCTTGGCAAACTCGAGGTCGGCGAGGCGCTTGAGTTCTTCGAGGCGCTCCTTCTCCTTCGAGTAGTCGACGCCGTCGACGACCTGCATGTTGCCGCCGTCGAGCTTAAAGTTGAGCAAGTCGCCCTTGTCATGCGCTTGCATCTTTTGGTTCATCTCTTCCGTGCGCGCTTCGCCGTTGGCCAAGATCGCGTCAATGTCGTCGTCCGTGATCTGCTGGTCGTCGTTTGCTCGAAACACTTCGTCGGCGCCAAACCGAATCATGTCGAGCATGTCTGATTTCGAGAGGTTCTTCTGCTTCTCCTGGAGCCGACCTTGCTGCACGACCATTGCATCGAGCTTGAGCTTTTGTTGCGCGCGCTCAATGATCTTTTCTTCGACCGAGTTGGACGTCACAAAACGATAGACGTGGACCTCCTTCTTTTGGCCAATGCGATGGGCACGGTCCTGCGCCTGCAGATCGGCCTGCGGGTTCCAGTCCGAGTCGTACAAAATGACAATGTCGGCCGTGTACAAGTTGATGCCGAGACCGCCCGCGCGCGTACTCAGCAAAAAGATAAACTTGGACGAGTTCGGACGGTTGTACGCGTCGATCGACGCTTCGCGCTCGTCGTACGACGTTTGGCCGTCAATGCGGCAGTACCTAACCCTCCCAGTTAGCACGACGCACGCAGACATACGTCGTACTCGTGCTGCCGCATGCGGCAATAGTCTTCCATGATGTCCAGCACGCGCGTCATTTGAGAAAAGATGAGCACCCGCGACCCGCGCTCCTTGAGACGACGCAGGAGCTTGTCCATGAGGATCATCTTGCCGCAGTTGTCGACGAGATGCTCGCCCATCGGCGGCAACGTCCGGTCTTCTTGGCCCTCGAACAGGTACGGGTGGCCGCAGCACTTGCGCAGTTGCCTACCCATTCCAGCATGAAGAGACATGCTACACTGTATAATCCTACATGACGATGTTTTGGAGCGCGCTCTTGGACGCGGTCGTGCCGCCCGTGAGCGTGTTCATGTCGCGCAAAAGCAGCGTCTTGTACAGCGCCTTTTGCATTGGCGTCATGCCCACAAAGAGCAGTGTTTCCTTCTTGGGTGGCAGACTCTTCTCGACGTCGGCTTTCAAGCGGCGGAGCATGAAGGGTCGCAGAATACGGTGCAGCTGCGTGATCATCTGCTTCTTGGCTTCTTCGTCCTCCGTGTCCAAGTTGAACCTATATGCGCACAAGCATTCGCGTCAACTCGTTGCTAGAATCGACGACGCACCATTCGTCAAACTGCTCGGACGAGCTAAAGACGTCGGGCAGCAAAAAGTTGAGCAGCGCCCAGAGCTCGTGGAGGTTGTTTTGGAGCGGTGTGCCCGTGAGCAAGAGGCGGTGCTCGGTTGCAAGCATCCGCACGACGGTCGAGAACTGCGACGACTCGTTCTTGATGCGATGCGCTTCGTCAATGATGAGGTACCGCCACGCAAACTTGCACAGCGTCGTCTTGGCCTTCAAGCACATTTCAAATGTCGTGACGCACACGTCAAAGCGCCGGTCGTCGTTGGACGTGCCAGGGCAGAGCACGTCGTCGATCATGCGCTGGCGCTCGTCCTTGTCGCCGTGAAACTTGACCGCACGGAGCGACGGGCACCAGCGCGCAAACTCGGCGAGCCAGTTGCTTAGCGTCGACTTGGGCACAAGCACAATGTGGGGGCCCGAGATGTTCTGGAACTCCTTAAAGTACCCCAGCACCGAGATCGTCTGGAGCGTCTTCCCGAGACCCATCTCGTCGGCAAGGATACCGTTGATGCCTTGGTTGGCCAGGTTGACCATCCAGCTGAGCCCTTCGAGCTGGTACTGCCGCATCGTGCCAAACTTGATGACGCTCGGCTGCACGGTGAGGCGGACGGTATCGTGCTTGTCGTGGAGAAGCTCGTCGTCCTCTTCCCGCTCGGATTTTTTGGCCTTCTTGGACGTCGTTGCCTTCTTCGGCTCCGTCACGCCAAAGTGCTTGAAGATATCGCTCTGGGAGAGGAGGTACTGGAGCCGCGCCGAGGCCGACCCAGCCTTCTTCGCTGCGAGTTCGTCTTTTTGGCGCTGCTCTTCCGCGCGGAGCGCGTCCCGTTCACTACGGGCTTGGCTCACGAGCTCCTGTCGCGCGCGCTTCGACTCGACTTGCTCGTCCGTGAGCGGTTTGGCCGGGCGCTTCTTCTCGCGCGCGATCTCTGCTGCGGTCGGTTTGCGTTCGCGCTTGCCGTCAATGCGGTCGCGCTCTTCGCGCTTCCGCGCCCGCTCTTCCTCCACCTGACGATCGCGCGCCAAGCACTCTTCTTCGTAGCGAAGACGGTCCGCACGCGCTGCGTCCAAGTACGGTTCGCGTTCTTCCGGCGTCAGGTTGGCCCAGCGCGCGCTGACTTCGCGCTGGACAACGCCGACGTCGACACCGGCCCCGTCGACCTGGGCCTCAATGGACGCGTCGTCACCGGCGCTACCGACCTCGTTGAGCTCGGAGCGGATCGAGCTCATGGCATGCTTCTGGAAGTGGGCGTACGCGCTCTTGGGCTTGACCAGCGGCGCGGTCGTCGTCTCGTCCGTCGCCATCCTCCTGTGTCCTGCCGCGGAATTGGAACCCTAAAATCCACCCGACTGCCCCGTTTTGGAATCCTGCGAGAATGAATATTCGTTTCCAGAACCCCGCCAAATTATGGGCGCGCGTTTCATTGGCTCATACTAATATCTTTTTATCCAATCGAACGCGTTGCCGGATACGCGTATCCGGTTTCCCTCGGCGTGTTGACACGACGTGGGGACAAAGATCTTGGTCGACGTATCGTCCATGCAGCACGTCGTGGGCCTGCTCCGGGACCACGCCCGGCGCCATGGCCTCCTGAGCAAGCTGCCCATGCTTCGACTCGCGCCAGCGCCGATCGAGGGCTGCGCTGGGCAGCAAAGCTCGCCGCTGTCGCGGGCCGCGGCCGCCGCCGTCCTCCTAGGCTTTGTGCACGAGTACAGCACGGCGTCGATGGAGGCGACGCACGCGACGATTCCGCTGTCGCTCGAGCGGCGTACGACGCGCGCTGGTGGCCATTTGGTCCAGCTCCGGAAGCGCAACACGACATCGGATCTAGATTTGCTCATTAGCTCGGCCGAGGTCCGCGGCGACCGGGCGACGATGGAGGACGCGGTCTTTATCTCGCCCAACAACCGGTTCGCCGCCATCTTTGACGGGCATGGCGGCGCCGAAGTCGCCCAGTACCTCAAGGACCGATTGTACGCGGTCATTGCCGAGAAGCTGCAGGTCGGCGACGGCCACACGATCGATGCCATCGAGCGCATTCTGCGCGACTCGTTTGCGCAGCTCGACAAGGAAATCATCTACACGTACGCCGCGCTACCAACGACCCTATGTACTACTAGTATCTGCGTAGGAAGGAGTGGCAATACCAAGGCTCGACCGCGACCGCCGTCTTCCTCATGGACGATCTCATTTGGTCCATGAACGTTGGCGATTGCCGTGCTGTGCTCTGTCGCAACGGCAAGGCGCTTCCTCTCACGCGCGACCACAAACCGAACGACCCGATCGAGCAGGCGCGCGTCGAGCGCATGGGCGGCCGCGTCGCGTGGCACGGCTTGCGCGACGCCCGCGGGCAGCCCGTGCCCGACATGGGTGCCTACCGCATCAACTCCAACCTGGCGGTCGCCCGGGCTTTTGGCGACCGCGACCAGCGCCCGTGCGTCTCGATGCTTTTGTGTATGTCTCTCCTTACATATTGGTATGGCTAGGTATGTCACGGCCGAGATGGAGCTCAAGTGCTTTCGGCGGGACCCTGGTGACAAATTTGTCATTGTCGCCTCGGACGGTCTCTGGGACGTCTTTACGAGCGCCGAGGTACATGATTTTAGGAAATATGAATAGTATATGGACAAGGGCGCGTAGGTGGTGACCTTTGTGCTGGACGTCCTCGCAGGCGAAGTCGGCGGCCGCGAGTCGTGGCGCAGCGGCAGCCACGCCGAGACGAGCATCGAGCTCTTTGAGTGGAAGCAAAAGTACCAGAACGACACGAGCATGATCCAAGCGTCGCGCGCGCGGCGCAAGGCGCAGATGGCCACGTATTTAATCCAAGAGGCCCTGTACCGCGGGACAGCCGACAACGTGTCGGTCGCTGTCATTTGGCTCGATCGGCCGACGCCGATGAAGCCGTACTGATCGAACGAGCGGCTCCAGCGCCACGAGCACTGGAGAACGAGTTAATCAGTACATCTCTGTAAAAGACAGTGTTCTGGCGTCCATCACTGTGGTGTGTACGTGCTGGAGCGAATCGAACCGCTGACAACTGTCCGAGCTGGAACCGGAATACGAGTCCGAGGTGTTGGCGTCGAACAATGCAAACTGAGAGCTACTACACGAGCTGCTAGCACTTCTGCGGCGTCCGGTTCTGCTCGATGACTACGGTAGCCATCTCGTGTCGCCATGGCTGCGACCAAGAAGAGCCCCCGGTAGAACGAGTACTCGTGACGACTGCCGGTGCTAGGTCTTGGCACTTAGCCACAGACTAAACCTACTCTGAACTAAACTTTGCGCGTGCAGAATTCATGTTGTGCCTTTGTCCATGGGCAAGATCTCGTCGGCGTGCAAACGGAGTATCTTACGAACCATCCGATTACGTCATGCACCATCGGCTTGCATAAACACGGTGTTGCACTGCCGCAAGTGCATGGCCGTGGCTTCCACCAAAGCACGGGACGCGCGCAGCGCCATCGAGCTCGCAGTGCATGGCGATACACTGATGGAGCTAGTATCTTGTGCAGAAGGCCCACGGGCCGTGTATAGGGCCATCTCTTCGCGGGTCGTTTGCAACAAGCCGTCTTAGCACCAGCTGGCGTGCAGTCGCCACGCCCCTTTGCATCCACTGAAAGGCATCCTCGAAATCCTCGGCCTAAATAGGACTTTCCCGCGCTGCGCAATTCGGATGCTCTAAACACACGCCACTTTTCCGTCCACAACGTTGCCGATTGTATCGCGCATTGTGCGGATGCAGTTGCTTGATGACGCAAGGGTGCTATACGGCCGTCAGCTAGATAAACGACGTACCCGACGACATTCCATACATATAGACATTGACTCGTTACCGGTCTGGACGTATACCCCCTTGCATGTGATACGAGCCGACTATGTCCCTTCACGGGAGGCCCTCGGAAGCCCTGAAATCGCACCGGCTTTCGCATCACTTTGTCCCAAGCTCAACAAATCGATATCTGCTACATTCATTCAGCTTGCATGGTGGCGCGCTCGAACGCAGGTTGCTGCAAGTTGGGTGTTTCTACCTGCCTGGAATTCACTTGAGCCCTGAAGAGTCCTGTTTTGTCCTAAATGAAGTAGGGGTAGGTATATCTCCATGGACCAATGGCCTTGGCGTATTTCGAAAACGTGGATCCAATTATGGCCAATCCGTGGACACCAAATGGCACTTGTGCGTCTACTCAACAGGCTCGGAGATCGCCATGGTCATGGTCGTCACTTTTCCATTTGCAATGAACAGCGCCAACCAGAAGACCGCCTTGGTGGCTGCCGGCGTCGTCACCGGCGTCGCCGTGAGCTCGTTCCTCTTCCGCAAGGCCATGTACCCGGTCATGGTCCGCCGCGCCGAGACGTTCATTTTGGACATGCTCAAGGAAGCTGACATCCTCGTGGGCCGCGACATTGCGGTGCACAACCCCGAGATCTTCCTCGAGTGGTCGCGCCAGGGCATGCTCGCGATCGGCGAGTCGTACATGGCCAAGCAGTGGGAGTCGCTCATTCCGCTCGACCAGCTCCTCACCAAGCTGCTCTTGCTGCCGTCCGACTCGAAGCGCAAGCTCTTCAAGTCGTGGGACGCCAAGCTCGTCGCGCTCGGTGGCCGCCTCTTCAACTACCAGTCGCCGTCGCGCGCTGGTATCGTCGGTGCCCACCACTACGACATTGGCAACGACTTTTACAAGCTCTGGCTCGACCCGTGGATGCAATATTCGTGCGCGTACTTCAAGGACCTTCCGGACACGGACCTCGACCAAGCCCAGGAGAACAAGCTGCATTTGATCGCGAAGAAGCTCAAGATGGAGCCGGGCATGACCGTGCTCGAAATTGGCTGCGGCTGGGGCGGCCTCGGCATCTTCTTCGCCAAGCACTATGGCGTGCACGTGACCGGCATCACGATCTCCAACGAGCAGCTCAAGGGCGCGCGCCTCCAGGCCGAGAAGGAGGGCGTGAGCCACCTCACGCAGTACACGTACTGCGACTACCGCAAGATGACGGGGCAGTTTGACCGCGTCGTCTCGATCGCGATGCTCGAAGCCGTCGGCTACATGAACATGGACGAGTACTACACGGTCATCAACCGGTGCCTCAAGAAGGGCGGTCTCTCGCTCGTGCACTCGATCACGTCCAACCGGTCGACCAAGACTGCGCACCAGCTCTGGATCCTCAAGTACATCTTCCCCAACGGCTTCATCCCGAGCGTCAAGCAAATGTGCGAGTTTGCCGAGAAGAAGCTCGTCGTCGAGGACGTCCACAACATTGGCCCGGACTACGACAAGACGCTCATGGTCTGGAACACGCGTTTCCAGGAGCACCTCAAGGCCGGCAACATCGACAAGAGCGACGTCTTTGTGCGCATGTGGGAGTTCTACCTCCAGTACTGCGCCGCCGGCTTCCGCGCGCGCACGATCCAGCTCCACCAGGTCGTGTACTCCAAGCACCGCGCCGGCCGCTACGACGCCGTCAGATAAATTCTTATTCTCGCGGTCGTGTATTAGTCTATAGAAATTCCAGTGCGTCGTTTGCGTGCTCTGCTCCTTCTTGCGTTCCACCGTAGTAGGATAATGCGTACAGACCTCGTACACATCGCTGCGACGACCGAGGAAGATCGAGCGGACGAGGTTGAGCGAGCTGGCTTGGCTCGCACGAACAAGTGATATGTAGTGGCTGGCGCTGACGTTTGTTGACAACCTGGACTGGCTGGCTCCCAGAAGGAAGCCTTGCGGAGTGTAATAGCGTAGGTATCGCTGCAGCGCCACGAGCGAAGGGTTCTTGCATACAGGCGCGGTTACAACCAACGAGTACTGTCAGCCTGCACGTTGACTCGCTAACTTGGACACGCCGGCACCCGTCTCCCTCGCACGTTCGTCGACCTTGCGCATCGATAAGGCGGCTTCACCTCGGTTCGGTCGTACAATGCACATCGCGTCATCACCAAGTCGCAGTGTGACGACGCCCGAGGCCACGGCGGTGGCATGTGCCAAGGCGAGAGACAGGCGGACCTTCTCGCCGCAGAGCGTTTCCGCCATCAACGAAGGCAGCAGCTTGCCCAGGCTGGTCACAGCGCTCGCTCAAGCGGGCATACTCAAGCCAAGTGCAAACACATTTGGCGATGGTTACACACGGCGCGCGCCTGTCCAAAGTTGCACTTTTAGCGCCGAAACCCCTTTCTTAGCTTACAAAGTACAAAGGTCCATTCGATTGACCAATCCAATGCGGCGAATACAAATCGAAGGACTTTTCTAAGGCAATCGAACGCCGCATCCGGATGCGAGAGCGCACACGACCGGATCGAGAGAGGTGGTCAGCGCCAAGAGCGACGGCTGCGTTTCTGCCTACGGAAGAGATGGATGCTTTGCTGCGCCACCAGATAGCTGCTCGTTTGGCCCAATCTAACTGCTCCAGTGCAACTGGTACACCTCCATCGACGTCTTCGTCAACATCCGCGTCTTCCGCCGCCTCGACGATGCACAACCCGCACATCCTCGCGGGCATCGCGACGACGCCGGCGTCCATGTTTCCCATTGTCGAGAAGAAGTTCAAGATACAAGTCAACGACGAGATGGAGCGCAAGCTCTGCCTCATCGGGCAGTCGCGCGCGCTCGGCCTCTTGTCCGACTTCCACCTCGTGCCACTGCGCGAGTCGAACGGCGTCGCGCTCTACGAGATCGCCGACGACCAGCAGCTCTACACGATGAAGGGCAGCGTGCTCATCCCGTCGTCGTCCGTCGCCGACGTCATGGCCTTCCTCGCCGTGCCCACGACCGATCGATTTCGGTATGTGTTTGGCGAGCTCTTTGGCACGCTCTTCCTCGAAGGCACGGTGCTCCACGCCGCTGACGCGACTAAAATGGCGCCGGACGAGAGCCTTAGCATCAACTGGATGGCGCTTCAGAACGCCAAGCACACGCTTGCGCACCGCGACTATGTCTTTCTCAAGTACGGCACGCGGCTTGAGAACGCGCCGCGGCCATCGCCGAACGGCAAGAAGCGCGGCGTCTTTACGCACCCGAGCGAAGAGCGCGTCGGTGTGCAGATCTGGGAGTCGCTCGAGCTCGACTCGTGCCCGCCGTTGCCCGACTCGTTGCACGTCCAGCGGCACAAGTTTCGTCGGTCCGGCTTTGTGATTGCACGCGATCTGACCCGGAACGCGGTCCGCGTCTCGATCTTCCTCTCCGAGCTCCATGGCTCGTCCGACGTCTCGCATTTGACGCAGATCTGGCTCAGCAACATGCTCGTGTGTCTCTCGCGCTTCTCGCATGTCCTGGTCTCGCACCACCTCTCCCTCATGGAGCTCAAGACGTCGTTTCCGGCCGACGACGCGGTCTGCGAGAGCTGCGCCAAGACGCGACCCAAGCCGCGGCTCTGGTGCTGCGTCTGCGCCAAGCCATTTTGCCCCAAGTGCGTCGACACGCGATCGGTGCGACAAAAGAATGCGACAATCGACGTCCGCGTCTGCAACCGGTGTGCGACGTTAGCGATGCGGGCGCCGGCCAAGCCACCCAGTCTGGCGCCGCCACCCATCGAGCCCGAGCCCGAAGAAGAGAAGAAGCGACATGCACCTCGGCGCATTCGGTGTAGCCCCGACGACGTCGAGCGCTGGCGCACGCTCGGCCGGTCCGTCGCGTCCGAGCTCGTGACGTACACGTCTCTCGACACCGAGTACATTGGCGCAAGTAGCCACCACCCCGACGTGCTCTTTTACGAGGCGCGGCCGCCGCACGAAGCCATTCGACGGGCGACCGTGACGCTGCCCGGCACGCCGCTGCACGCGGTGCTCAACCGCCTCGCGTTTCTCGAGACGGACCACCTCCGCCACATCTTGTTGCATCTCTTTGGTGAGCTCTTCACGGCCGGCGCACTCCTCTACTCGTCGCCGAGCGAAGGCAACGAGCGCGTCGAGGTCGTCGAGATCGAGGGCAAGACAATCGGTCGGTCGCGGCTGCTGCAATACATCAACCTCTTGCCCGACGGATTGGGCGTCGTTGTCTGGGAGAGCCTCTCGGACGACAAGCTCTGGCACCAGTGCGGCTTTGTGATCGAGCCCATCCGCGGCACGCGCGTGTCGTTCTTTGTCGGAAGCTTGAAGCTGCATAAAGTGCTCGAGAGCTTACGCTTGCACAAACTCCTCTCGGTGCTGCCGTTTGGCGACAAATGCGACCTCTGCCGACAGCGCAACCCGCCGTCGCCGCCATCGAGCCCCGAGCTCGCAGTGCTTCATGAAGAGAGTGAGGTCGTACCGCCGCCGCCGCCGCTACCGGACCCGCTCCCGCTCAACGCCGTCTTGGCCAAGAACCTGCAGTCGCTCGGGCATATGCGCGCCGACGATCTCCTCGCCGCTGTCGCAGAGCCCATGCCGTTTGTGAAAGAGACGCGGGGTGTTGCGCTCTTTGCCCAGACAACGTCCGAGCTTTTGATTGTCAAGGCCGTCGTTCTCGTGCCCTTTCTCAACATTCCCGACGTCCTCGATGTGCTTGCGATGGAGACGACGCAGGCCTTTGAGCTCACATTACGGCACCTCTGGGGCCCACTCCTCGTCGAGGGCGAGGTGCTCTACGCGAGCAAGAACGAGAGCACGCTCCAAGTGCACGCGATGGTGCTCGAGAACGACCTCGAGTACCTCTTCATTCAGTGCGCCAAGAGCAATGACGACGAAACGCGGACCGCGGTTGTGTGGGAGTCGATCGAACTCGACGACTACCCGCTCGTAGCGCCGCGCCGCCGCCATCGGCTTCACCACTGCGGCTACGTCGTGGAAGAAGCTCTCCAAGGCGAGAACCCCGCGGTCCAGATCTCGTGGGTCATGTCGCAGCCGCTCTTGCACGAAGACGACGACAAGGACGAGGTTCTCGAGCACGGCCTTCCCGTCGACTGGCTGCCCGTGCTCGCCAAGGCCACGGAGCGCGCGTGGACGGACGCGGTCATCGACCACCGACTCACGCAGGCCGCGCCGGTGGCCGTGGCGCCCGTCGACCCGATGGCCACGTCCTGTGCGTCGTGCCGGCAAACGTTTGGGCGCACGCTGACCAACCGCCAGTTTTGCGTTGTCTGTGGCGATGCTGTCTGTCTCGGGTGCAGCTCGACGCGCCAGCTCTTTGCAGGGCCGTGCTCGGTCTGCAACGGGTGCCTCCACATGCACACGACGCAGCTGCTTCGGCGGTCGAGCTTGCCCACGTCGGCGCCCGCGTCGCCAGTGCCGGTGCCGCGCCGGCCGCCGCCGCAGCACTCCATGTCGTCGTCGTCCTCGAGCGCCTTATCTCGGACCAACTCGGCGCATGAAAACGGCAAGTCGATGTCGCGCACCAACTCGGCGCACGAGAACCGACAGCCGCGGCAACTGCAGTTGTCGCCGGACCGCCTCCAAGCGCTGGAGAAGCTCGGGCGGCAAGTCGCGTCTGAGCTTTGCTCCGACATGAACGCCGTGCCGCTCAAAGATGCGGCCAACGGCGTCCAGCTCTTTGAAGTCGACGACGGGTCTGTGTACACGATGAAGGCGACGATCACGCTCCCCAAGGTGCAGTCGCATGACCTCCTCGCAATGCTCTCGATGCCGACGACCAAGCATTTGCATTATGTGTTTGACGAGCTCTTCCAGCACCTCTTTGTCGACGGCAAGGTGCTCTTCAACAACGCCAAGACGAGCGCTACCAGCAGCAACCTCTCGGTGTTGTGGATCCTCTTTCAGAGCGCGCGCGCCCACTTGCCGCAGCGCGAATACGTTCTGTTGCAAGCTCAGCACACGTTCGGGTCGACCGCCGTGAGCGTCTGGGAGAGCATTGACGTCGACGTGGACGGCCTCGTGCGCAAGTCGGTCGCGCCGCCGCCGCCGCTTGGGTCGCTCGTGCCCGACGTCCCGTTCAACGCTGTCCGGCTCAACTTGCATCGGTCGGGCTTTGTGCTGCAAGACATCCACGGTGGCACGCCAGCGTGTCGCATCTCGTTCTTCCTTTCCGAGAACCACCACCAGCGGCCCCAAGTGTCGTCGACGACCAAGTACTGGCTCACGACGATGGTGTCGATGATCTCGGATCTGCACACGGTGTTCGCGGGCTACCAGCTCTCACACCTCCCGCTCGTCGACGCGTCCGAGCCGCCGCCGGCCAAGTGCCCGCACTGCTACAAGGCGTTTTCGCTGGTGCGCGTCAAGCACGCGTGTCGCATCTGCGGCACGTTCATCTGCAACAAGTGCTGCGAGTCCAAGCGGCTCATCTTTGTGAAGGACCCGATCCGCGTCTGCCACCGCTGCATCCAGGGGGCGGTCAACACGGGGCCGCTCAAAGCCACGGTGATCCGCGACCTCATGGGGTCGCCGAGCACCGAGAGCTCGAAGTTGACGAGCCAGCTGTCGTTGTCGATGACCAACTCGGGCACCGGGGCGCCGCGCCGAACCGACGACGCGCCCATGGTGTACAAGCGGCCGTCGCGCGTGCACATCTCGTCCGAGTTTGCCGCCGGGCTCCGAGCGCGGGGGCAAGAGCTGGTCGCGCATCTGCTCTCGGACCGGCCGACCTTGACGCCGGTGAAGGAGCTCAACGGCGTCCAGCTCTACGAAGCCGAAGAGAAGGGCGTGTACAGCGTCAAAGGCACGCTGATTTTACCGAATTACGCCGTTGCTGACGTCTTGACGCTCCTCGAGATGCCCGTGACCGACTGCTTCGTGACGACGATGGAGGACATCTTTGGCAGCATCTTTTACAACGGGTCGGTGCTCTACGGCGACACGCGCAGCCAAGACAGCCTCAGCATCAACTGGATGGAGCTCCGGAACGCCAAGCCACATCTGCCGCACCGCGACTTTGTCTTCTTCAAGTACGGGACGGTCTGGGACCGCGCCGTGTGCCCCACCGACGTCGAGCGCACGGTCGGCGTCTCGATCTGGGAGAGCTTGGATCTACCGGAAGCGTGCCCGCCGGCGCCGCTGGCCTCCAATACCGTTCGCGTCGCCTTGCGCCAGTGCGGGTTCCTCGTCGAAGAGCTCGTGTCGCGCCAGAACCTCCGGCTTACGTTTGTGCTGCATGAAAACATCTCGGGCCGGAAGGCCGTCTCGACCAACACGCGGCTCTGGATGCACAAGGTGGTCTCGGCGATCGGCGACGTCAACACGGCGATCCTCTCGCGGTACCTCGCCGAGTGCAACCTCCTCACGCACTTTTCCAAGGCCGGGCCGCTCTGCGTCATCTGCGCCAAGTCGTTTTCGATTTTGCGCCGGAAGGCCAACTGCTGCGTCTGCGGCGACGAGTGCTGCCACAAGTGCTCCGAGATCAAGAAGATTCGGTCCGGCAAGACGCTGCGGGAAGTGCGCGTGTGCATCCTGTGCTTAGCGCCGGCCAAGGTGTCGCTCCAGCGCATTGTCCCGTCTGCGACCGCGCCGACCGACTGCATCGTGATCCGATAAGCTTTCAAATCCACCATCCCATCTTGGTACTACGTCGTCAATTGTTTGTCCAGCAACGCAGCCATAGGGACATTGTATCAATGGCGTGTGCTCGTTCATTGCGCCGCGCTACATGTTTGGAACGTCACGGGGAAGTGCAAGATTGGGGTCTGTATTTCGGCGGACATTGAATGCCTGCGTGACGAGCTGGACGACCGATGAGGCGGTGGACGGAGCGTCTTGTGGCGACCGGGAGCGCTAGGCGACGGCCTCAGAGTCGATGATGTACAATGGAAGACGCGTTCGCGGCCTACGCGCCATGCCACACGTCGTGGTTGTAGAGGTCCGCTTGCGGGGCCGGGACGTCGTCGTCACCCCACGCAGCCTCGAGGGGGGCGTTGACGGGCGCAAGTGAAGCAGCCGCATCCGCAGCGGGCTCGGCAACCATCGGCGTGTGCAAGATGCACGTGATGGCTCCGTCGCAGCCGCAAGACGTCTGGTCGCTCATGTCGTTCGTTGCGATCGAAACGCGCAATGACCTCTGACGGCCGTGCGTGCCCCATGAGTTTTTTTCAAGAGTTACGACTTTCGAGCATATAATAAATAATATATGCTCGAAAGTCGTAACTCTTGAAAAAAACTCATGGGTTAAACTCTTGAAAAAAACTCCCAACAGAGAGCGCGTGGCTGTTCGCTGACGACATGTGGGCAGTCGATACCTTGATATACATATAGTGATTGTTGATGTGTTGTTGAAATGAGCTCTAGTGTTGTTGAAATGAGCTCTAGTATTACAACTGTACATGCAATATGCAATTTGAGGCAATGAAGACGGGGGAATCCCCAACGCATCGAAGAGGCATGGCCAGTGCGTCAAGCGAGGAGTGTCAGAACATCTCCATCACTCCGGCTTTCCCATTTCCAATCTCAGATTTGGCGCGATGCGGTTGGGCGGATTGCCATCTTCCCCAGCTGAGCAGTACGGATAAGCGATTCCGGATAAACGTCATTCCCAAATTTCCTTTCTAATAAGCAGGCCAGGGCGTGGGCACCTTGACGACGACGAGAGCTGAGTGTTAACACTTCTTACCGCCCGCCGAGCGCCAACACGGCGAGGAAGCTACCGGTCGCTCCTTCGCCCAATGCGTGGACCCAACTCTCGAGCAACACTGCGGGCTGTGGCCTCCAGCTCGTTCCTCGCCCATTGTGCGCTGCCTTTGCTCGTGGCGCCTTGTGGCGCGTTGCTTTGGACAAGGTCGATTTTCTCGATTTTCCTTATGGCCCTTTGTCTTTCTATCTGGAGGAGTGAATAATCCATCTACACCTTACTCGTAACACGCTGAAATAAAGATGCACACAACTCTTATTTATCCACAACACCACTCACTAACTACATGGAAATGCCAAGGTTGCTGTCCTCACCGTACGGACTGAACGAGCTCTTGGAAAAGTGCAGCGACCGGCACGACGAGTGGAACGAGAACA